AATTATCATTTAGAACAATGTTCATCTGTACTTAATGCATTGCAATTGTCACAAAATTTTCATAACCCTACAATTTTCAGAATATTATTGTCTCGCATAATTCAAGTGTGTTTATAATCAGAAAAAAAAAATTCTTTATTATATTTTTTTAGGAGAGAAAATTAATCCCTGTATTAAACTATTAAAATCACTATAATTCTTGTATATAGTCAATTCCAAAATTATTGAAAGTAAGACAATTTTAATTGTTAAAATATCAATTTTTTGTTGGAAAAGCTCTGTGAAGCCACAATCAATTTGAGGTAATTGCTGAGCCCAAGGAATTCAGATGAAATATCAACAACGTTTTGTAATATATTTCTCTTATTATTTTAAAAAAAATCAACATTTTAAATATCAATAATTTCATGGCAAACTATACATTACAAATATTTATGAAGAGATGAAGTTTTGATTTTCTGTTTATATGGGTTATAATATAATATATATNATTTACACCAATCATTTTAAAAACAGATTTTTAAATAATTTGAAATCAACAGTCTTGATTTTGCCAACACACTTTGTAACTCAACTTTTGTAACTCAACTTTGTACAGATAGCTCTATTGATAATTGATTATATAAATCTATACTTTTTTTTGTTAATATGAAGAATTTTCTTAGAAGATAATTTTTTTTATCAAGCAAAGGGGACAAAGAGTTATAAATATTATATAAATATTTTTTTTTATTTGGCATATTATTTTTTTTCCAATTAGGCAAACAAAAATTATTTCTCTTCTCAACTAATTCTTTTATTATGATGAAATGATACCAACAAAATAGAATTGCTCGAATTGTTACGTTATAAAATTATAAAGAAAAATGTTATTCATCCCCAGTGGAGATGCATTCCCAGTCTATGTGGATGTAAATGATTGGCTAAATGATAGGTGAAATTAAATGACTACATTAACGTCACATAAACCATGGAAGCATCTCAAATGGGGATGAATAGCATTTCTCAATTATAAATTGCAACAACATTGGAAGTGGGAGATTGGTACTCTCTCTCTCTCTCTCTCATATGTATCTTTATCACTTTATGTCTCTTTGGTATAAGAAATTTTGATATGACTACAAATGAAATATGGTAATTGGTAAATAAGATGTAAATGGACTTCCAAGTGTATAAGCCCTTGTTTGTTTGGATGGAAATTAAAATTTAATAATTAGTTAAATATATGGTTGAAAAATTAATAAAACCTGTGAATCCTATGAAACGTATGATTGAAAAAAAGTTCGAAAAAAATATGAATTTTAAGAAATGGAGATCAAATAAGAGCTAAATGGATAAATATTATAAATGTTTTTTATTAAAATAGATATAGTCACTGTTTGGTATGGATTAAAATCTAAATTTTAATTTAAATCAATGCTAATAATTAATTTTAACCACCAATTTCGTGAAATTGGAACTCTTCAACCTCATATTTTATCAACTTTTATTAAAATATACTAAAAATATGATTTTAATCTTCACCGAACATGTGCATACTTTTAAAGGCAAGAATGAATGTAAATCATCGAAAATGACTTTTTGCACTCAAAAAAATAGATTTAGATGGTCAGTGCGAGAAAAGAAGGTTAGAGACCACATGCGCACAAGGGTCATACAATAAGGATATTTTATGTCAATTTCCCTCATATTTATAAATCTATCTTTAGATTTCATCGCCATGATAAAATGAAGGTATACAACTACATATAGAATGTTTTCAATCATATGTAATATGAAAGCAAGAAAATAATGGTATATTTGAGCTTCATTTTTTTGTATAGAATGTATTTTGAAATAATAAATTGATAAAAATGTGTGGTTAAAAATTAAGGAAAATTTTTTGGGTTACATGTAATATTATTTTATTGAAAAATGTGTAGTTGAAAAGAAGATAAAGAAAAATGTATTTTTTAAAAAATGGACCACGAGGAAAAAAGTTTAGTACTCAATATTTCTTAACATGTGTATCGAAAATGAAGGTACACTATAATTGGGATCTAGACATGAAGTTAAGTCAACAGTGACCCCGAATACTAAATTTTTTTCTCATATTTTAAAATTGATTGTTGTTTACATCTATATGTATTGACTTGAAACGGTAAAAAGCTTCAAGAACATACCTAGCAATTAGTATTTACAAAATAAGAAAGCATTATTGGCTTCTCCCCTTCTTTCGTGTGATGTGAATTTTGAGGGAATATGAAAGCAACCTTTTGCATAAGAAATCTATGCACGTAAAACGTTTAGCTCAATCATAATTGCGGGGAGAATTGACTTTGACAAATCAAACTGCGTGTTGCCTTGCTTTAGCAGAGAAGGCTGGAAAAATATGAGCTTTTTGTTCCTCCTTAAAGCCTTCCATTTCTAAACCAAACATGTCATCAGCATCCCCTCCCTCCTGTTTGCACCAAATGACATATCTTGCCTTCTTCTTCCTTTACCCTCTTCTTCGCACCTTAGCAGTTCATTCGGCAGATAATTACCTCACAGGGGATATAGCTATTAACTGTGGCTCAACCGGCATTTCAACTGCCTTCAATAACAAAGAATGGACTGGAGATATAACAGAATCAAAATCTACTTCCACACCAGTAATAAAGGGCTCATCCACCACCTCAACTGCCTTCCGTAATTTGGTGTCAACAGACCCCATTCCCTACAGGACAGCTCGAATCTCTCGCACGCAA